TTTCTGCAGATTACTTCTTGCACCAATGACTTCAACATTTTGTTTTCTATAAGAGTATTGTCTTCAAATTGCCTTAGCTTACTACGTCCATACTGTAAAGATTAACCAACTTTGAGTTTAGTATTAGTCTAGGAAAATTTCTTCACTGTTTCATCACATTTTTGTGTATTGGCATTCCAATTATGAAATGTGCATATTTATCCTACTTTAAAATTAGTGCAGTCTTGTTTTTGAAAATTTTCTTTTTATGTCGTTTCTCTAACCTTGCATCGTCTTGATTAATCATTATAGTCACTTCCCTAACCAGTTTCATTGTTCTTGTGAAACAGTGTTATCGTATGCAAGTTTTAGGAAGATGAAGAATGGGTTAATTACCTACTTTATTTACAGTTAACCCCAAAGATTGGAATTGTTTACCAAATTTTTATTCACTTGAGATAATTGTCCAGTTGGGAGTGGTCACCATACGGCAGTGATTGCACATCACTCGAAACAAAGTGTCTTCAAATGAGATTTAATTTCAGCTCACAATTCAAGGTTAGGAATGGAATTCTCACTGCCATAGCCCAGCTGAGAAAGTTTGCGATGTCTTTTTTTAACGAACAAGGTCATGGTATTAACAATCCTACTTTTTTGCAGTTTGTTTTGTGAGAAAAACATAAAAACTTCAAGATGGCTACAGGTATGCCAGATGGGAATTTTCTCCTGACTGTTTTCCAACAGTAAGTAAAATGAACTCTGTATTAGAATGTAGATTTCTGTTTTTATGTATAGGTTCCTCTTTGTAATTTTCAGCTTTTTGGAAATTCAATATAAAAATTAGTCCCAAACAATTTAATCCCAGCTCAATTTTTTAAGAGACCAAATGGGTGTTTACAATGCAAAACAGTATGCGTCAAATGAATGCCATAAAATATAATGCATGATTGTTAAGTGAAAAATACACACTTACTTTTGTTAGCCAACTCTTTTGGTTCGTCTTTATACCAAAACATAAGGTTTTGTGTACGATACATTTATTACAGTAGAATGATAAAATCTAGACTTGATTATTCCATTTTGTAAAATGCTTTATCCCAGTTTTATAATGATATTTAGATACAACTTTGGCAGTGACACTAACAACTTCCTTTGTTTTCCAGGGTGGACAAAGATCGCAGTGGGGCTATTGATGCAAGAGAATTACAGTCTGCTCTTTCAAATGGCAATTTCACACCATTTAATCCAGAAACAATTAAGCTTATGATTGGTTAGTATCTTTGCAGTTTTATAATTCTGATAAGAAAGATAGTATTGAAACGTGAATAATTTTCAGATACAAAAATGTGCACACTTGTAAAAATGAAACCGTTTTCTTGTTGTTGTTGTTTTTTTTCTTGTTTTGTTGTTGTTGTTGTTGTTGTTCTTCTTCTTTCTTCTTCTTCTTCTTCTTCTTTCTTCTTCTTCTTCTTCTTCTTCTTCTTCTTCTTCTTCTTCTTCTTCTTCTTCTTCTTCTTCTTCTTCTTCTTCTTCTTCTTCTTCTTCTTCTTCTTCGTCTTCGTCTTCGTCTTCGTCTTCGTCTTCTTCTTCTTCGATTATGTTTACCTTAGCTAGGATTCTTAGACCTGCATCGAATCAGAAGTGTTGCATTTCAAAATTACTTGGTGTTCTTCTGTTCAATTTTGAAATGTAATGAGAATACATGGTTTCAGAATTTTTTTGAGTTTGTTCTTGAATTAAAGATTATTAACATATATTTATTTGTGTAATAAACATATAGATATATAATATCTTTGTATTTGTATATTTCAGGAATGTTTGACAAAAAAGGCTCCGGAACAATTAACTTTGATGAATTTGGAGCGGTCTGGAAGTATGTAACAGACTGGCAGCAGTGCTTTAGGTCATTTGATCGAGATGGTTCTGGCAACATTAGTAAAGATGAATTAAAGACTGCTATCACTACATTTGGTTACAGGTGAGTGAAAATGTCTAATCACAAATGCATCTTCATATTTTAGATGTTTGATTGTAGTGTAAAAAGGGAAAATTGGATTAATAGCTATGCATTTTAGTTTGTGACAGTTACAGTTATTTGCAGTTGTATATGTTTAGAGCATTGTACATGATACATTACTTTTAGTTGATACAATTTATTATGTGCGGAAATTATTTTTTTATCATTATTTCATTAACAAAATACATTTAAAGATCCACTGTTTTGTGCTAATGTATTTTTATATTTATTTTTAGGTTTTCAGAGAAGTTCTATGATGTCCTCATGCAACGTTTTGACAGAACTGGAAGAGGTGGAGTTTACTTCGATGACTTCATTCAGTGCTGTATTGTCCTCCATGTAAGTGATTCTTTCTGATTCTGGAGTTAATGTAGCATGCTAGACAATCTGAAATATCATTTGTGGTATTTTGAAAGGGTAGGTGAAGCTTTTTTCAATTTATTGTGTATGGCATTTATAGGATATACTTAGGAAAAAAACAAAGTGCAGGTTTGGGATTATTGTGTATACAGATAAACTGGAAACACTTTGGTTTTACCCGCCCTCTTTTCTCTGTTTTGATTTTATAATCAAACATTTCCTTAGCTTTCAGAGTTTCTTAATTCCCTTTATAGTAGTTATTTTCCAATTTGTGTTTGTACATACATATACCAAAGCTTAATCAAAGCCAGAAGCAAATCTTATGCATCTCTCTTTGTGTGTGTTTTGTTAAGAGTGTGAATGATAAGTTTGTTTCCTTGTTATCATGAATGCTATATTTCTTGCACTTATTCCTTTACATTCTGGTGCTTGGTATGGTAATCTATGGAAGTTGTTGTGGTTGGTCGTTAAACTATGTTTCACTATGATCACTATTGCTGCTAAATTCTTGCAGGGGAGTATTAACATCTACTTAGGGTTGTGAAGATACTACTAGGTGACTTGTGGTGTGGGTTAATTTTTTATTCCTTTGTTTAATACACACAGCCACATCCACCCTCAGTCATATCAGGCTTATTCTCACACCCACACATTTGCACTTGTGTGACCAGGCACAAATCTGTGATGCAGTACACTTATACATGTGTGTTTGGAAATATGTATGGTTATGGATGTCTGTCTGAGGTTTTCATATATTTTCCAGTCTGGTTAGATAGATCTATATTTCTCTTAGCCAATTGTGCATTTGCGTCTTTAGTTCAAAATTGAATGATTCTGAGATAAAGGGAAAGATGTAATTTTCACCCTAGAGTGAATGGTAAAGAATGGATTGAAAAATATGACTTTTATTTTGGTGGTGTGGCAGTTCTTGGATTATTTAAATGACTTGTATGATATATTATTAATGTATTGGTATCACATTCACTGACATACCTAAGGTATGGCATGTATGGCACATTCCTTGGGCACTACTTCAGGTTACCACAGAACACTTTTTATTAAAGTCAGATAAGCTATTTTTGAATAGTGAAAATATTTTCAAAAAATCTTTTGAACTGATTCTATTATAAGATTATCAGAAAGATGGGTGTCAGATGTTCTCATGTATGTGTGTGTGCATGTGCGTATGTGTGTGCATATATGTATGTATATGTATATATATATATATATATATATATATATATATTATATATATATATATAATATATATATATATATATATATATATATATATATATATATATATATATATATATATATATATATACATGCATACATACACATGTATATACATACAGGCATACATACACATCTACATACATGCATACATACACATATATACATACATACACATATATATACATACATACACATATCCCTATGCATATACATACATATATCCTTATGCATGTATGTGCATATATACATACACATATCCCTATGCACACACATGCACAAAATCATGCAACCATTTCCTCTTGTGCAGTGGTGTCCAGTATCCAACTTTATGCATAAAACACTTCTTCATTATTGGTGCATATGTGTTGAAAGTCCCACCATGAATTTCATGGCCCCCAAATATATATTATACTCTACTTGCTGCATTAACCCATTGATGCCAGGATGGCAAAAGCATATGCCATGTGTATATATATATGTGTGTGTCTTTTTCCTTTTTTATGTCTGCAAAGATAGATCCACAAGTGTTTAATCAATAAGGAGTCAATTACTACCTATCTCAATGGTTCCCCTTTTTGGCATAAGCCGAGAACACAAGTGTCTTGTGCATGAGACATCCAGCTGTCGTCTATTCTCTGGTTGTCTCCCCATAAAGACGTCTATCATTTATGGATAGTAACATTTTTAATAATCCTAATGTCAGTAATAGTAACAACATCAATAATTCTGGTTCG